GACGAGCATCAAGAAACGGCTAAATATATATTCATACATATATATATATATATATATATATATATAATTATGGAGACTTAATTGTAAAACAAAGGCAAATCATATTATTGGCATAGCAACGAGCGTCTTTTCGATTACCGGCACCTCCAACGACTATCTTGCATAGCTCTCTACACCTGCGGAGATCACATGGATTCATACATGTGACACGTCATCACCATCATCGCCAACACCGCAATAACTAAGCTTCCCTCCAAATTCATTCTAATGGATTGTTAATTTTAATTTAATAACTTGCAATTGATAATTCGATATATTATTTTTTTTTTATATCGAATGTGTGTGTGTGTTGTATAATGATTTAATTCTTTGGAGAAGGTATATACATATATATAGGCGTTTTATGAATTGATCCAAAATGCAATATGATTATATTACATGAGAATCTTATTTTAAGATTTTAGTAATATAATATAATTATATATCACCAATGCGCAATAATAGTTCATTGTATCTTTGCAACGAAGCGTAATACTATTAATACTATTATTACTATTATTACTGTTATAATAATCTAATTTTGAAGATTTGGATAATCATTGTTCAATGATATTTGGAAAATACAGTTTTAACCTCTTAAGTTTTCTCGAATTTCACATTTGGTCCTCATGTTCACAAAAAACATATTTGGTCCCTCATGTTTCAAAAATTCAATACTTTTAGTTATTTCCGTCAATTTTCCGTTAAAACTAACGGAATCGAACGCGTCCATCACTTCCTTAACTAACGGTAAATTGATGAAAATGATCAAAAATGTCAAATTATTAAAACATGAGGGACCAGATGTATTTTTTGTGAACAAGGGGACCAAATGTGAAATTTGAGAAAACTTGAGAGATAAAAACTGCCATGTGAAGCCGCCACGTGTACAATCCTATGCAATGGTATCCTAGGTGCCGACAATGTAAAAGTCCGCTCTTTGTTATGCCAACAATAGGGTTTGCGCTTGTGACTTGTGTTCCAACCAAGGGATGAAAATTGAAATGGGCCAAACATTAGGGACCAAAGTGTAATTTTCCCTAATTGATCCTATAAAATATCTTCTTCTTTTTTGTCACAATAATTTATTTTATTTAATTAAGGGTAAATTCATTTTGCACCCCTGTACTATGATAAATGTATCGTTTACCCCCCTCGAAGTATTGAAACATC